GCAACCATAGTTTTTTAATAATTGTTAAAAATTGTAAAATATATTCGTTTTCATAATATTCGTTAATTCAAATACAGGGTAAAATTTTAAAGTAATTTTAAATAGAACACCCTGTATTTTAAGTCACTATCGAAAAGTACTAATATCGTACTTTACATTTTATGGAATACTCCCTATACCTAAAGTTATCAATTTTCTAGATAAGTATTAATTTGGTAGATATTTGAACTTTTACCAATAATTATTGGGAGTTGGCCATGATTTATTTGTCAGAAACTGTGTTCTGTATTCTGAGAAAGATTTCCGAAGTAGAAATCGAAATGTCAAAAATAAACTTATTATAAACGTAAATTGTGGCTTATTCCCCAAAATATAGGAAATGACAAGTACTTCTGTTTTACATTCAAACTTAACTTAAATACCATTAAAAAAATTTAAAAAAATTGTTTTTAAACAAATTATGTGGTTTATTTGACAATTTATTTATCGAAATAATGCATATTCGTAATGTACGCAAAAAGTACATACAAGTTCAAAAAGAAAACGTTGAAATACATAAAAAGGAACAGAGATACAGTTAACAGCGCCTTCCCCTCCCTTCAGCTTCCGAGAGTTTTAAAGCCAACGGATTTTACATACATTTTGAAGCTTTGTGGAGGATTCCATTAAAGGGCAATAATTTTAAAATTTAGTAGTTTAAAACTATGATGTATATTCTTTCAAATAGCTCTAATTAGATTTCTTAATTGTTATAAACAAAGATGCTATGAATTAAACAAAAAAAGAGGCTAACTTTGTACCAAATTATTTTAGGACAAACTTTTTTGTATTTAAATTTGTAAAAAAATTCAAGCTTTTTAAATATGTAAAAATAATATTTTTACAGTCAATGGTTAAAAAGTTATTCTAATTGTTTATAAGCAAAAAATCGACATGTTTTTGCAAAATAATTTTGCAATATTTAAAATTAATTTTCTTAATTTTTTTTAAATGTAAATAATAAAACAAGTCTTCTTCTACCAGAAACAACCCTTATAATTTCTAAAACTGTATAAATTTCTGACTTATATTGTTACAAAAAATGTTAATTTGGGATAAACAAATAAAATAACTTTTAAACTATTGGACCGATCACTTTAAATTTTAACCCTATTTTAAGCACTACAAGACACATCACTCCATGAAATATAAATATTATACGTTTTTTTTTCAAAAAAGTTATTAACATTTATAAAAAACCGAAATTTTTAACTTATTTTGCAACTTTCTAAGCAACAAGTAAGGATAGAAGCATTTTGAAAACGCCATTTTGAAGGTTTTTATATAACTTATAAGTTTTCTCTCTTCTAAAATTTGTTTAAATTGCTTATCTTTTTGCTGATAGCCGAAAAAAGCAAAAATTTTCCGTTTTTTGAACTTAATTTGTTAATAACTAATTTAGTCCAAAAAATCGACTGCAGGAAACATATAGGTTTTTATTACAGAGGTCCACACTACTCAAAACAACTGTCGTTTGCCTGGCCGGACGAGTGTCAAAAACAGGGTACTTTTTTTGCTTATTTCCCTGGCCTAAATAGCTGTTGAATGTATTCTATTTTAGAGGTGTGTGAGTAAAGCGGAAATATTATTTGATAAACCGGTAAACCAATAAAAAACGAACGTTCCTTTAAGAGTTGTGACTTATTTGTATTTAGAAAATTATAGACAATGATTAAAAACAAGTTAAGGACTTAAAATTAAATGTTATTTAAGAAATTAAATGTTATATTATATCGAATAAAATAGCGTTAAAATAAATTAATTTTTCATAGATGTAGTAAGAACCACGAAGATATTTTTATCTTTCTCATGACTGAGTTTTATTCCTCTATCTCTCATGTTTTAACATTGTTTATGCTTTTGCCTCTTCAAGAAGGGCTGCTTCTTTTTTTTGGGCTATAGAGTGTGATGAACGTCAGAATGATTTTACGTATTGGTTTTTGAAGCTAAAACGCTAAAGCACTGGGGTTAAGAACGTGGAATTTATGTTAAGGAGCGCACTAGAGGAATTTTTGTGTCAGCCAGATAAGCCGAGAGGTACTTCAACTCTAGTACTAAGTGATGGTATGGTTACCAGCCATACTAGGAACAGCTTTTGATTTGCGTTTTTGAGTTGTTAACTGCGATGTTTTAGGGAAATAGATTATAATGTTTTTGGGAAATAGATGTAAAATCGAAATTGATGGAAAAATAATAAGGCAATAAGCAAGGTTTAGATATCTGGGAATAGATATAACTAGTTACGGAGATGTTGAAGAAAGTACATCAATAAAGCTTAAGAGCAAGTAAAGCGATAAGACAAGACAAAAAAATAAGAATCTATAAAGCAGCAATTAGACCTATATTAACATACAAGACCTGACACATCTAAAACGAGACGATTAGTAGAAACAACATAAATGAAAATGAAATAAACATATTACAGTCCGTCCCAAACCCTTTTTTCAGTGCGTCACTAATTTTAACGTCATATAGGATTTTAAGAATGTCGAGAATTATTGCATGACATTTTAGTTAAATCTGACAGTTGCAGGATCGTAATCGGCTAAACGTGAAAAGGTTATTTTTTTTAATGCATAGCAGTTTTTCATAATTCTATTCTATTCTGTTCTATTTTATACATTCCATGGAAAGTGCTTAATTAGCTAAGATTTGTTTATGGATTTATTATTATTTATTACAAACACTAGGGAATTGGAAGGTTTGTTTATTTAAAATAACGCTTCCTCCTAGAATCTTTTAAGAGTTGACTGCAAGGTAAAAAAATTTACTGACAATTGCAAGGCATCAAAGTAAACATTCCTGTGATAAAATAATATCGATTTAAATCAGTCATATTTGGATAAGTAATTTTCTGATAAGTTTGTGTGGCAGCCAATAGTTTAATTTTGTGAAGAGTTGTCATTAAATAGTGGAAATAGTTTAAATAGTGAAGCAGTTGATTTTTAAGTTATTCTACCAGATTTGGTGTGCAAATGAAAGAAGGTTATAAAGTTTAGTTAAAAAAAAACAATATAAATAGTTTAAATAGTGAAGCAGTTGATTTTTGAGTTAATCTACCAGTTCCGATATCCAGATGAAATCGTGCTAATGGAGTTTAGTTAAAAAACAAGATACCGAATGTAAGTTTACCTTCTTTTTTATGAATAACAAAAATGAATATTATATTTCAAACAATCTATAATCCCATTCAGAATCTGATTCTTGAAAATCAATGATTACACTAGATATGTGGCTGGTATCAATTATATCCTACATTTCAAGAAAATGTCGTGGTTCTAAAAAGAACCGTTTTAATACATATAAAATATCCATAAAGGCATTAGTTTAAGATATTTCCTCAATCTCATTCCGGAATTCACAATCTGATTCGCGAACGACAGAAACTGATAATAAAGATGTCTCAGCCTCTTTTTCTAATTGAAACTAATTTAATAATTTTAATATTAGTCTTTTTTCATTCTCGGTATATCTCGGAATATTTAAAATATTTTTATGACAATAAATACAAAATTTAATTTTCACTGTAGTTAAAATGTCTGAAAATACTAACCTGGAATGGCAATTATCATTTTATCAGTTGACATTGTGAAAGTACTGTCACTGTCATTATCAAGATCATCTGTGTCAAATTATATTTATATGCATAATTGATTGGATATCTATTTAGCGTATTTTAAACTCCAACCAATTATACGTTCGTAAGTAGAATTCGCTTTAATATGCGAATACCCGTGAACGATACCTAATTTTCTAAGTTCTATGTATAATAATCAGCGACTCACGTTTTTTCTGTCACTCTAGCTTAATGCGTTAGAGAGAATTCGAACAACTATGACGCACTGAAAGAAGAGTTTGGGACGGACTGTAGTAGAACAGCAGAGAATAGGATAGTATGAATAGCATTAGATTAAGTCACCAAATGGACGAAAAAGTATTGGCGGACCAAGAAAAAGATGGTGCGATAATATAAACAATTTAGGAGGATAATATTGAAGAAGAAACAGACTTTAAAGTATACATACAAGAAGAAAGAAAAAGTTCTTGATTTTGTTTTCTTTGGCAAATCCTGTTAAATATTTCATTAGGGACGCAGGTGAGAACCATGAGGAGCCAAAGTATATTATTGTAATAGTACAGACAAGTTTTCATTCTTCTATATTCCATAGCTCTCACTACATCAACAGTCCATTTTTGTATGTTTGGTAGAATAGTTTACTAAGGTACTAAGAGGTTCTTTGCTTTAAACGTTGTTTTATAGAACTGTGTGTTTTATTGCCGATCAGATTTGTTTGAGCTTGATCTAGTTGGGTATCAGGATATTGTCTATGTACTACCATCAGTTTGAAAATATTTGTTACATTAGTATATGATCTAGACTACTTGTAAGTGTTCTTAGGTTTTTTTAGAGACTCTTTGTTGAAGCAAATTGTGGTATTTTCTTAAGGTCTCTTTTTACCCTACGGCGTTACAGATTATCCCGCTTTGGTATGGTGATGGTTTTCTTTGGTCCATGTCCTTGCATCCATTTGTGCCTCACTTCTGATCATCTGTTAAGCTACAGTAGGCGGATTTTAATTTGACTCAGAATTTATTCCTATTGGAACATTTGTAGCTCAATATTTCGCCATTTCGTTCGTTGCATTTGTATTTTACTTGAGTTGTGAAGACTCACTTATTTCTGAGCTTTCTCTTTTTGCTTCAATCTGTATATATTTTTTATTTTGTCAATAATTCAATCAATAAGTCTGCAGCATACGCATTTTTGACTTGTTGGTTGTCATCTGTCATATTTCATATTTCATATTTCCTGTTCAATTAAATTCTATTAATAGGACATTATTGTATAATTTTGCTTTTGCAATAGATTTTTATATGACCTGTCAATCGTGCTAATCAGATAAGTGGCTTCATAATGAATAAATATTAACATAATTTCTCTCTACTTTCTTAATTTTTAGAAGCATTGGTTAGTTCGAATGTATCCACAGCATTTACCAGAAAATGTTGAGATATTAGATTCCATACAACAACACCGTCTGGAATCACTGTTGGCAGTTGACGAGTTAGTCGACAGGATTGTCCAGAAATTAAAAGTCCTAAATATTTTTCAAGAAACTTACATTATATATACTTCGGATAATGGTTTTCATATTGGTAAGTTTATTAAAACGAATAATTGAAGATTTAATCCAAAAATGTATAACAACATTGAATAAATATTTACTAAAGTCCTATGCACAAATTCGAACGTAACTATAATTTTCAAATTGTATTCTCTGTGTAATTACACTACAGTTGTTATTAAGGTAAAAATTTATAATAGAGGGTGTTCTGAACTAGTTCCGAAACTATATTTATAATCTGACTAAAAGGCTACGATTCATCAAATAAGTGTATTGCCCTCTGCATAAAACAAAAACCTTTGACTTTTGAAAGCTGGCAAATTTAATCTGAACCAAGGAAATAATTGCAGGCATTTCCTCAATATCAGGCAATCTATAGTTTGCATAAAGTTAAACAAACTCTAATGAAGCTTCTTCTTTTTCAAGTGCCGTCTCCATCAATGGAGGTTAGCGGTTATGGTGGCAAACGTTTGTCTATCTTCATCTGCTCTTAAGAGTTCCTCAAATCCAAGTCCTGTCCAGTTTCTGATATTACGTAACCAGGACAATTTTTTTCTTCCAATTCCTCGCTTTCCTTCTATTTTGCCTTTTATTATCAACTGAGGGATGTAGTATTTCTCGTTGCGCAACAAATGCCCTAAATAACTGGTTTTTCTTCTTTTGACTGTTCTCAATAGTTCTTTTTCTAAATTGAGTCTAGCTAGTACTTCTTCATTTGTTTTTCGTGCTGTCCAAGGAATTTTTAAAATTCTACGGTACACCCACATTTCAAATGCCTCGATTCTATTCAGGCTCTTTATTTTTAAAGTCCATGTTTCGACTCCGTAGAGAAGAACAGACCAGATAAAACATTTTACAAGTTTTAATCTCAATTTAATATTTATATGTGTATCGCAGAATAGAACGCGCATCTTAAAGAAACTATCCCTAGCTTGAGCAATTCTCGCTTTAATTTCTTGTTCTGGGTCCAGCTTGCAATTAATCCAACAGCCAAGGTATTTGTATTGGTTTACCTGTTCTAAAATATTCCCATTTATTTTTATAGGTAAGGGGATATTCTGTTTTCTTTGGATCACCATTACTTTTGTTTTTTTTTTCGTTGATCTTCATTCCAAACTCTCGACAAGCATCCTTAAGGTGGTCTATAACCCTCTGTAAGTTTGTGTCTGTATCAGCCAGTAGGACAGTGTCATCTGCATATCTTATGCTAGATATTGGTTCTCCATTAATTTTTATTCCTGTGGAAAGGTTTTCCAAGGCTTGCTTGAATAGTAGTTCCGAGTAAAGATTGAACAGCATAGGGGATAGTATGCATCCTTGCCTTACTCCTTTATTTATACTAATATTTCTAGATGTATGATCGTCGATCCTAATCTTGGCACTCTGCCTCCAATATAAGTTCTTAATTAATCGGAGATCTTTACTATCCAAGTTGATGCTCTGCAAGGAATTTAACATTTTATTATGGTTTACGCGATCAAATGCCTTTTCAAAGTCTACAAAACATAGAAAGACATCCTTTTGTTGGTCGTAACACTTCTGCAGCAGTACTTGTAATGAAAACAAGGCCTCTCTGGTCCCCATTCCGGCTCTGAATCCAAATTGATCGTATCCAACTTCTTTTTCACACCTTTTGTATACCCTATTGTGAAGTATTTTTAATAGAATTTTAAGCATTTGGCTCATAAGACTTATTAATCTAAAATCTGCGCATCGCCTGGAGTTAGCTTGTTTTGGAATGGGAATAAAAATAGATTCTAACCATTCCTCTGGTATTTCCCCAGTATCGTAGATTGTATTAAACAAAATTACTAACAAATCAATGTTATTACTTTCGATCAATTTAAGTATTTCAGGATAAACTTCATCAGGTCCAGGGCTTTTATTGGTCTTTAATTGTTTAATGGCATATTCCACTTCGACTTTTAGAATTGGTGGGCTTTCAGTAACATTATTTATTGTAATGTCTATTCTTTCATCTCGGAACAGCTGTTGTATAAATTTTTCCCATTCTTCTATTTTATCTTTGGTGTTATGAATTAACTCTCCGTTGTTATTTACCAGTGGGCAATGTTGTTTTTTGCGGATGAATGAAAATTCTTTCACCTTCTTGTACATATTAAAGTAATCATGTCTATGTTCTAATTCTTCTATTTCTTTACATTTTTCTTCGAGCCATTTCTCTTTTGATTCTTTTATTTTCCTTCGTATTTCTGTATTTAATCGTTTGTAATCGCTTGTGTTCTTATTTTTGTATTTCCTCCTTTCGTCTATCATCTTTAGAATAGCTGGTGTCATCCAGTCTTTTTTTGCCATTAATCGTGTATTTGGAATTTCTTCCCTTGCAGAATTGACGAGGATGGATTTTATTTGTTGCCAAGTTGTATTTATATTTTGGATATTTATTTGGGTTCGGTCTATTTCTGAGAGTTTTTCATTTAGTTTTACAGTGGTTTTATCTTTAATCTGTACATCTTTTAGTAGTTCCATATTAGGTTTGTTCTTCGGCTTTGCATTTTTTATTACTTTAATTCTTGTGCGAATATTTGCTACTACAGGGTTGTGGTCGGAATTTGCATCAGCACTAGGATATGTTTTTGTACTTGTAATGGAGTTACGAAATCGTTGGTTGATTAAAACATAATCTATTTGATTTCTTATTATTCTTTCTTTTGTGTGTAGCGGGGAAGTCCAGGTGTATAACCTACGTTGAGGTAACTTAAACCAAGTGTTTGTTGCTATCATATTGTGTTGCTGGCAAAACTCTAATAGTCTGTCTCCTCTTTCATTTCGTTCTCCTAGTCCGTATTCTCCTACGATATTTTGGAATTTCCCTCTTCCTATTTTAGCATTAAAATCTCCTAGGACGATGTTAATATCTTCTTTCTTTGTCAATTTCATGAGCTTTTGTAGATCTTCATACCATTCTTCTAGTATGTCATCTGGCTTATCTGCGGTTGGTGCATAGACCTGAATAATATTCACATTAAAAGGAGAACTCCTTATTTGCAACAGCATTGCTCTGTCAGAGAGTGGTATAAAGTTTGAAACTGCGTTACTCAATTCATCGTTTATTATTACACCTACTCCATTGAAATGTTTTGGATCATTGTTGCCTGAATAATAGAGTGTTTTGTTCATAATTTTTGTTGTTCCTGAGTTAGACCATCTAACTTCACTCAGACCTAAAATATCTATATTCAATCTGTTCATTTCTTGGCACACGTTTGCTAGCTTTCCAGCCTCATAAAGGCTTCTGACGTTCCAGGTCGCTACTTTGACGTCATTGTTTGTTTTAGTTTTGTATTTGTTTTTGTTCCTCCCGGGGATTCTTAGCACCCCCTGAACATTTAAGTTCTGCCGGGCACTGGGGGCCATCGATTTAGTTCCATTTACCATCACAGCTTTCTTGGGAAAATTAATGAGGTGGTTTCCCATTGCCTTCCTCATGTTTTCTGTCGGGGTTTTCTCCCTTACCCGGAGTGTTCCAGTTTTAAGGCGCCGGAAGCTCGCCTTGCGCCCTTTCCCGTTAGCGTTACCCAGGAAGTACCACGTGGAGGTGGGAATCGGACTTGCTAACAGACGTAATGTTTAACTATTCATCCAGGTTTTATTGCCACATACCTTCCGGTAAGACATGTGATCCCAGAGGTCTATCGTTAGCCAGTCACTTCCCCTAATGAAGCTACTAATCGATATTTCACGAATATACACGGTGAAACTATACAAATTCAAGAAATTAAGATCAATTTAAGATTACAAATTAATGGACTAATTTGTGATTGAACAATGTTCAAGGATGTAGAATTTTAAAATTCTTTTATATATATTGAAATCCCCTCGTATATGTTAAAACACCGAAAAATATTTTCAATGTATTTCATTTTCTATCGTTCGTATTAAAACACCGAAATATTCTTTCAATCTTTTTCTATCTCTGGAGTTGATAGTAAACACATTTTAGAGTTTGTTTATATATCACAGATGCGTAATTCCTTGGTATTTTCTTTGATCGTTCAGCTACTTAATATTGTGTTTTTTTTTATACCAAGTTGGATAAATGAATTTTACAGATAACTACATCACTTTCGCTGAGAGCGCTGTTAGGGGCAGTTGGCTTAAGTGTTGGTCCAAATTTTACGTCAAATTTGAAATGTTTTGTGTTTTTTTTGTCCCTTTTTATGGAAAATGTGTAACAGTGTTGAGGCAGTTTAAGTTAGAGGTTTAAAAGTTTGGTCATTGAGTCAAGACGCCATGAGTGTCGGCGTTAAAAAACGGGCAAATTTGTTGAAAAAAGTGAATTGTACTCAATGTAATGTGTCAATTTTGAACGAGTAATCACCTTTTTTTTATTTGTGAGCTGTCTCTCATCTGAGATATTTATGGGACGGAATTTAAAACAACTTTAAAAAGTGCCTACATGTGTTCCAGTTTTTTAAGAAGCGGAGCTTCAAATTTTGTTGTTCAGAACTTCAGAACAAAAAGAAGCGAACTTCAAAGTTTTATGTCTTAAGACGCCGTTTCAGAATACAATTCGCAGTGTGAGATGTAGTTTTTTGTTCGTGCGGCAGTTTGTACCACCAGAAATTTTAGTAAGTCTTAGTTTTTGTTTGATTAGTTTACTTTTGTGTTTCATTTTTAAAGATAAACATTTTCTAATAATAATTGCTTTCATAGCAATTTAGAAAATTGTAATAATTAAAATTGTAGATCTTAGGGCTTAGCTGTCATTTTAATTGTTTTCAGTTTTAAGATTTAGTATGGATATATGACAGTTAGCACTATTTTTGACATTTGGTAAATATCGAATCATATTTGAGATTTTGTTTTGCTTTAAAAAAAGGTTAACCTCTATGCATAATTTAACTTAAAAATATATTTTTCCGCAAATCGCCAGGAAATTTTGACATTCCTGTCAAAATTTCTTGAAGAAAAAGTCAGGACTTCCTTACTGTAAGGAGATGTCATTTCCTTACTGTAAGGAAATGATATTTCCGTACAGTCGTTAGTGTTCTACATAAATGATAGAAAACACATTGCTTATAAGGAATTAATTTATATTTTGAAAACATCAAGTCATTGCTGAATACATTTTTAAGATCAATTTGTTATATTTACAGTAATTTGACAGTTAGTACAATTATTGAACATTGGAGGAACACTCTTAGAACTATGAGAAACATTTTGGACAACATGCAGGGTGGAAGTGTCATTTTGTTGAATATTTTGTATTGTGAAAATTTTATTTGCCACCTCAACCTTATTGTTAAGCGATTCTTCGATATATCCTTCAGCAACGTTTGATGACTTCCATCCGCCATGCCTCTTTAAACTAGTTATGTCGGCACCAGAGTCAACCAATATTGTTGCAGAAGACCGACCAAAGAAGTGACCAGTATATTCTGTCGGATTTACCAAGTTCAAATAAGTACCACTTGTCTACAACCCTTTCCACTTTGATATTTAAAGAAAAATCGGTCACTGTTCATATTTTCTGGTCTTAACGAAACATACTTTCGATAAACATTCAAGTAGATCTGATTAATTACAAATGATCTTGGTTTGTTGGTTTTCAAAACAGGTATGCTGATTAAAAGCTTAGATTCTAAGTCTTCTATATCGTGTACAGTCATTCGGACTAACTCATCCATTCTACAGGCCCCAGAAATAAAAAATATTACAGCCACCTAAAAAATAAATAAAGCTATAATCTAAATAGAAATTAAAACCTTGTAAATTACCTTAAACATTAAATTTTCTTTATCTGGAGCTTCCTGGATAAATTTTTCAATTTCTTCCTTCGTTAAAATCTTAGATTTCTTTGCCCTATAACCTTAAGCTTGCCTTTTCAATAAAGAACGAAGTTTTGAGTATGTAGATATATCTACATTGTGTTTAAGTGCAAGGGTTGACTTCAGCATTTAATAATTGGCCCATAATGTTGAAGATTTCATCTTTAAACAAAGGTCTAGGAAGTATGCCATTACAACATTTCTGAGAAACAACTCGTATTTTTACTCATGCGATAATCCATAAAACGTCTGTATGCATTTTCGTACTTTTTTCTTGATTTCTTTGGCAATAATTCTAATGAAGCAGTATTCACTGCCTCAACCAGCTCTGGAGGAGTCCCAGGAATGGAAATTTCATCATCACTTATCATTTTACTTTCGAGAACACCAGCAATTAAGTTTATAAGTGTCAAGTTTGACAATTCAACCTCAATACGTTTCCATAGTAACCCAAGTAATTTTATTAGGAATTTCAAAGCACCATTTATTTGGGAATAAAATTATCGCGTTTTTTTTAAATCAATCAATATCTGTCGAGTTTTAAACGATTTGCGGAAAAATAGTATGTTTACCTCGTAGGAAAAGCCACATTCCTGGACTCTGTGTTGTACTATGTACAATGTACTATTTTTATTTGTTATAATTTATTTCTGCCACAAATTGTTGCCCATTAACAATTGTAAGTTTTGTAGTATCTTCAATTTCTAGAGTTTGTAAGATAAGACATAGTAAGTCTGTTTTTGATATTTTGTATTTTATTGTTATTGTCTATATTTTTAACTGTTTGTGATAAGTCAACAATAAATGTGTAATGTTTTTCCCTAAACCATTTAGTTTATTTATTTAAAAAAAAGTTCCTTATCTTTTTTTGTGTTTTTTAGGAAACTAGAAACTTTAGGAAACTTTAGGAAGAAACTTTTCTTTCTTCAAACAGAAAGTTTCCTCAAAGCTGCGTCTTTATTTTAAATATCTAGAGGACTTCCTTTTATTTGGTTTGTTCCAGGAGATTCATGTAATTACCCCTTTGTTTCATTTTTGTAGTTGCCCCAATCCAATCCCATTCTTTCATTCACTTACCCACGACCCAGTTCTTCAAATAAACACTGAGCGCCATTCGCAACAGTTTCGTTTATTTTGCTAGCCCTATCTCTGCATCAATAATTTCTGTTCCCAATTTTCAACCCCCCGTAGTAATACTCCAAGTGGTATGCAAAATATTCGTTACAAGGGATATTCTACAAATTCAAATTCAAAACATTTCCTTAACTGATCGACATTTATATTATCAGAATTACTTCTTAGGTACTGCGCAATGAGTTTTTATTAAACAATATTGTTTTATTAAAATTTTAGGTCAATTTAGTCAGCCTTGGGACAAACGACAGCCTTACGAAACTGACATTCGAGTTCCTTTTATAGTTAGCGGACCTAACGTACCACGGAAAACTTTGGAAACATTTCCTATTAGTTCTGTGGACATTGCTCCCACAATTTTGGATTTAGCAGGTGTCGATATTCCTAGTTCTATAAATGGCAAAAGTTTTAAAAAGGAATTGCTTTCTGAAAAGACTGAACCGTTTGCAAGATTTATTTCGATTAGTTATAAAGGTGAAGCAAATCAAAACTCGATTGATACAAGTTGTCCCTGGACGTATGATCCAAATTTAAGTGTAAGTATTTTTCTTATTTATATGTAATATATACACCAGTGATGGTAAATCTTTTGAGCTCGGTGTGAGCTCAAAAAGTCGAAACACATAATTTTCGTGCAGTGTTACAAGATTTCGACATCCGCTTTGATCTCTTTTTCAGGCTTCTGATGTTTCCGAGCCCCCTGGCACTACTGTACTGATCACTAACCAATGTATTACTGCTACTGGGAACATCTGGCGGTTGACAAATTGTTCATTAATATTTACAGCATATAAAAATATATTATATTTATAATTATTCTATTTATAAAATGTATATATTTATAAAATGTATACTTTTTAGGAATGCACTCTAGATCAGTGGTGTAAATGTCAAGACTCTCGAAATAATACCTATCAGTGTTACATTTATATTTCTGACGAGGCGATATACAAGTATTGTTTATTTGAAGATGCAGAAGTAAGTATTGTAATGTAGAGTTCTTTCAAATGATAATATTAGATATGCTTGTGTGTTGTTGGAAATATGACTGCGGATTACTAAACGATATTACTACCACAGAGCTCGATTTTCTTTTGGAGTTACGCAGATTTGAGTATACAAATCAAATACAAAATTTTATACAAAGAAATAAACAAACACATAAAAAAGAGAATAAAAGAAGCCAAAGTGGCGTGGATTAAAGAACAGTGTGAAGAAATGGAAACCTATGAGAAAAAGCACGATGCGTTCAATATGCACAAAAAATGTAAAAGAGATAACAGGAAGCATAAAGAAATGCCAAATAGGTAAACTTAAAGATAAAGATAGAAATCTTATTGTAGATCTAGAGAATAATATAAAAAGATGGAGAGAATACCTGAAGAGAAGCTCTCTCTTTGCCTTAAACGTCCTAACATAGAGATGCCTAGATGTTAACCAAGAGCTACACGCCTGCTTTATAGACTTTAAAAGGCCTTTGACAAAGTACGCCACAATAAACTTAAAAAAATCATGAAGGGTAAGAACATCGACACCAGAGACATATAAATAATATTAAACCTGTACTGGAATCAGCGAGCTAATATACAAATAGAAGACCAAACATCGGACGAAATAGAAATACGTAAAGAAGTACGACAGAGAGACAAGACAAGACAAGAGCAAACTTGAATACTTAGGCCACCTGATGAGAGGACAAAAGTACACATTCCTACAAAATATAATTCAAGGACGCAGAAATCTAGGCCGTAGAAGAATGTCCTAGATGTGGAATTTAAGAAAGTGATTTGTCTGTGCCATTAGCGAATTATTCAAAATAGCAGTAAATAAAATTAGAATCGCCCTAATGATATCCAATCTCCGATAGGAGCGGCATTCAAAGAAGAAGAAGATTTGAGTAATGTTTTTGTTTTGTGATAAGTTCAGATTTTACCTGAGATCACCAGACGATCACGAAAGAATCTGTTAAAGACAAGGAGACTGATTGTATCAATGCAATATTGCCAATCGTAAAGTACTGTCCATATCTTAATGATAATCTAAGCGACAATCACTTACACTCTTAGCAAAGAGTAATAAAGCATCTTCTACCCATCCTGATTCTCCTCCACAATGTAACATACAAAGTCTCTTTCCTCTAGAGAGAGGAACAATGGTGACGCAATTTTTACTATCATCGTTCCAATATTCTTTAACTGTATCGTGGGTGTCGAACCAAGTTTGATTCAAATAATAGAAGTTCATCCCCTCACACCTAAAAGACCTTAGACTCTCCAAATAATCGAACCTCAACTTTTTTAAACGGCTGGATTACATAATTACCTGCCGTTTATTCACTGTTTTAAGCATAAAACCATTTAATTTTAAAATCCTTCAAAACGAAGTTTTGTGGGATTGTGACACTGGGGGATTATTTTTTGTTTCTTAATTCACTCAAAAGTTAGTTATTCACTGAATACATATGATATCTTGTTTCCCCTACAGCTGATAAATAAAAATTCGGTTATATTCGATAGGCACCAGAATTCTTTTTTTTTCGCAACACTGGACCGACTGTACGACTGTACTGGATGACTTCGTACACAGTGGATCATGGCACTTTTGTGCACAGTGGATCATGTAAAAAAAAAACCGTCTTTTTGATCACTTCTGATTTAACTATCGTCGATAGAAGACCTAAAAAAATATGTAATTTTAAATTTTTAAGGAATTCCGCTCGAAATTCTGGGTTTTTTATGAATTAATTAATCGGTAAATAATATGATTAACCTTCCTTAACATCGGGCCCCCAGGTCTAACGTTTTTATTAATATTTGTAATTAAGTTCAATCAATGGCTTTAACGGTTTAGGAGATTGGTAGTAGATATATTAAGAACACAAAGAAGTAGTAAAACCCTTCGTGTTTTGATAGATTTCGTGGAAATGTCTGTGGGGTGGGAATTCGCCCCACGTAATGTCGAGTGTTTTCACGTTCTACAAATCTGATTTTATCAGTTTAGATGAAAGTTTTGGAAAATAGTTACTAATGACTATACTAATTACTTGCCATGATGTGCAGTCTTATTCTTTACATATAAGCAGTTGATTGTAATGTGTTTCTTTTACCTTTGAAATTCCATTCTTACTATTACACAGTGGGAACTTTTATAATTCCCCTATTAGCATATTTTTGTATAGATTCTTCTAAGCATCATTTTCTAGTTTTTAATTGTATCTCTAAGAATTTGTGCAATTAGCCCCACTTAGTACAATTAACCCGAAGTATGATACGTTTGATATCTCATAATTCCTAAAATTACCTGTTTATTTGGTGAGTTTCTGAATGTGACTGTCTTCTGTCCTTAATTTTTAATTTGTTGAATTGGTACTAAACACAGTATACAGACAATAAAGAGTTAAAAAAATTGTAAGATTAATGAGAAACATAGAATCGTTGCGCTTAAAAGTAAACCAAACTACTGGGGCGAGAAGTGACACTACCTGGTACTGGTCGTTTTAAAATTCACCCGTTATTAGGAAGGTTAACTAAAGCCTATTTTTAACGAATACTTACGGTTGAAAACGTTAAGCACGATTTGCTTTGCATCGTGTGTTAGATGAATATAATCAGAACATTTTTCAGGTTCAGACTCGTCTTCACTTCCTGAAATAGTGACAGGAATGTACAGAACATCGTCACTAATCATTTCTATATCACTCATATTTATAAATATTACACTGACTGTTCTAAATGAACGACAAAAAAAAATGAAGTTCTTTTCAAATACACTTTCTTCTCACAGAAACCCATTTAGTGATAATTTCACATTAAGTAAATATTTTTGTTGAGCAAATTTCACTTTGACACAGTTGAGCTAAGCAAAATATTACAGGCGCTTAAAGAATGCAGGCTAGATTATAGATATACTAAATTAATATACAAAATATATCTGCAGACAACAACCACTGTCAGATTACATACTAACAGTAATCGCATAAAAATAGAACGGGGGTTAGACAAGGAGACCCAATGTCACCTAAACTTTTTAATACCGTGCTAGAATATGCTTTTAAGAATTTGGATTGGATGACAAAGGGAATAAAAATAGATAGGGAATATCTAAATAACTTACGTTTCGCCGATGATATACTTATAATAGCTGAAGATCTAGGTATGGCAAGAGAGATGGTACAGAAACTCGTGGTGGCTACAGAAAATGTAGGTTTAAATATAAATATCTCGAAAACAAAAATCATGACCAATTTGGTACCCAACCAGAACATCAGTATTGGTGGGAAAGAAATAGAACTCGTAGATAGATATAAATACCTGGGAGATGAAATTATGATTGGCAGAGATAACCAGACTCATGAACTTAAGAGAAGAATCAGCCTTGGGTGGGCAGCATTTGGAAAACTGAGAGAAACTTTTAAAAGTGAGCTGCCCACATGCCTAAAGAGAAAGGTATTTGATCAGTGCGTCCTCCCAGTCTTGACGTACGGAGCAGAAACAGTTACTTTAACAAAAGCAGCAGCTACCAAACTGAAAGTCACGCAGAGAAGAATGGAACAGTCCATGTTAGGAATAACTCTGCGAGACAGAATAACCAACAAAGACATCAGGAGAACAACCGGAGTGAGTGACATCATCGAGAGAAGATAGCCAGACTAAAATGGAAATGGGCAGGACACATAGTCAGAATGACAGATGGGCGATGGACAAAGAGGTTATTGGAATGGAGGCCAAGGGAAGACAAAAGAAACGTCGGTCGGCCACCTACAAGATGGACTGACGATTTAAGAAGACTTAATAAAAACTGGATAAGAGCGGCGCAAGATAGATGGGTTGGAAACATGAGGAAGAGGCCTATGTTCAGCAGTGGACTCTTGAGGCTGGATGATGATGAAACATTATACTTTTACCTGAATAAAACTCAAAGAAACTTTCTAATCTCTTATAAACACTGGTTTAGGTACCTAAAAATTTGTAATTCTGAATTCTGAGTAGAAATGCAATTCATTGATTAAATTTAAATAGGTACACAAAATTATGCTTAAAATTTTATTTACCAATCGTTAACAACTCAAAATTGAAATACTTACCTAGTTACACCTACTTTGTGTCGTGTAGTAAAGTAACTTTAAGCTTTGAATATAATTTAAAATTAAACCTAATGAAACAAAAGACTAAGGGTGAGTATTCGTTAGAGTATTAAGGAAGTACAGTCATTTTGTACTTGATATTGGCCCAGTCTCTTAATCTGGGGAATTCCATCGGAATTATCTTATAACGTATAGTAAATTGAAATAGGAAAATGTTGACTCACTCTGCAAAAGTGAAAAATTGAGTTTTTTCCTTTTAATGGCACAACTGAATAAGTTCTAACAAGGAATATTTATATTACATTCGATTAAGAAGAGAATGTTTAAATTATTTATAATATATTAAATTATTTTAGAATTTCACGGAAGCTTATAACTTAAAAGAAGATCCTTCTGAATTAAAGAACATAGCTCCAAAATTAAATAGTTGTAAGTATCAAGAGAAGATAAAGGTAGGAAGATTTTTAAAATGTAGTGATGAAAGTTGCTGCTATTCAAGTGAATGATGTAGACTCTATTAAAATATTAAATGATTTTTGTATATATTGCTACTTTATATCTATGTAGCCCAATAAATAATATTTTTTCTTAATGTGTTTTAATTATTTTTCATTATATTTTAAAATATTGTAGCGAGATTAAATAAAACGAGCGGTTCGAATTTATATAAATATACTTATTTATAACTTTACAGTTCGATACTATCTTATCAACTAAACTTAACTCCTAATTCCGTTACATATATATACCAAAGTTACTATGTTCGAGAATATTCAGGAGTAGTTCCATCTCTTATTCGTTATCTGACGACGGGTGGAATTTTACAGCGCTCGATATATGGCCTATGGCTGGTAACTTCTCGATCCTTCGAGATGCGACCGTTAGGTAATCCACGCTGAATGCATGTTCGTAAGAATATAAAAATGTACAGTTCATTCTTTTTATCCGACTATATAAAATATTTTTTGCAACAGAAACTAATAAAGTAATTCCCCAAATAAGTTGTAAAATTTTGCTTAAATTGGAATTTACTTATGCTAAGTACAATAGAAATTCAGCGTTGATAAAGAGACCTCAAATTATTACATGGCGACGCAACTATCTGCATAAAATATCTACAGAATGTTTCTGTCTCCAGCTTCTATACAACATGTAGCTTCTCCTTAAAATTTTAAAGTGTTTGTTTGTCTTTGTGTATTGTATTTTGTATTCTTATGTCCAAATTTTATATTTATGACATTCTACTCATGTCACATAGGCCACAACTGACGAAATGCCCCTGAAGATGATCTATTGATCGAAAGTACTTGGGCAAGATTAAATTAATCACCGTGTGCGATAGTTGCCTTGTATACCCTCAAAGTTTAATTATTCGAACATTCAACCTTATATTGATTTATTGACTATGGCAGTTTTGGTGGATAGCTTAATATTCGGTTTTTCATAAAATCTACAAGAATAGGTAATAAAATCAAACAAGGTTAACATCATAACTATATTTTACTCGTTACAAATAAGTTCGGGTAGTGATATTATTATAATTTTTTATATACATACTTATATACAGATTTACTTACTCGGTCAAGGTACGATTTTCAAGCATACAAAGATGGTTTTAAATGTACATTATGCAGGTATTAACCATTGCATTGTAACGTAATAATATATCATAATTTAACACTAGAAAGTCGGGCTTAGCATACCTACTGAGGGAGCTTTGTAACTGGCTACCTACATCGTGAGAGTTGGAAATCTTTTGATTCCAAGCCTTACTTCAAAGGACTTGTAAATGGATGCATCTCCATAGGTTTGGATCTTCAGTGACCGTTGAAAGATAAGGATTCTTAAATTGAGCAATTATAGCTCCAGAGAAATAAAAGCACTTTGAGTTTATTGATTTATAATTAAATCCTTTAAGAGTAGAGGCCCAACACGGCCGTAACTTACTGTACAATATCAAATGTACTCTTTCTTTTTATAACACGTAAAACAAACCGTTATGAGAAATAAACATGACAAAATGCCCGATTTCGGCGGAGAGAAATGTTATATTTAAATACGTGAATTGTGAAATTCTTAGCTGCCCGCTGGTGCCTGCTCAAGGCCATGTGTCGAACTCGACTAGGGATGAGCTGATACTGAACTAATAAAAACTACATAATGCGTAAAATGGGAATAGTGCTTAGGTGTGAAAAATATTTAACGGATGTTAGACGCCAATCCGTCGCCTTCAAACTTGATAAAGTGACTTCTAGTTATTCTACACTGAGAAAAGTATAAGAATTATATTCTTATTTTATATTTTAAAACAATATGTTCATTTCTGGAACACCTACCTAGAAAGCCTGAAGGGATCATTTTGGCCCCAAGTTCCTAAATCAATAAAAACCAAGTTTAGAATTAACTATTTATTTGGGAATAAACAAAAAATTAAAATAAACAGTTTTAAGAAATTATATAAACTCTTGACGATAGAATTTGATTTAATTTTTCAGTTTCATTTTAAACATTTGGAACACCATACAGTTTGCAGTTTTTGGCATTTTCCACACATTGCCTTGTTACAGCCGTGGCACTCATTGGAAGTATGATTTCCTTTACAAAACATTTTTAACTGACATTTTTTTCTTTTTTGGCTAGTAACAGTGCTGGTGGTTGGTAAATCCGGTGGTGCTGGGTATAGTACCAGGTTTCGGGGGGCAAGGTATGGAGCCCGTAATTCTTCACACAGCTGAAGAATAAACTTACGACGACTGCCATTTCCCAGTTGATTTTCCATTAATCGCAAAACAACATGTTCACCAACACTTGTATCTTTCTTGCGTAGATAATCAGTGCCAGTATAATAAGGGTAACCATTTACAATATATTTTGATTCCACGCATGTCAAAAGCCAAAATTGTATGCCAAACTTATCCGGCTTATTTGATATGTACTGTGTGAACGGGCACCTGGCTTTAGAAGGAAGTAGTTGTTCGTCCACAGTAAGGTTTATTCCCGGTTTGTAACATGTACCACTATTTTCTATAAATCCATTCCAAAACGAGAGTCAGCAGAACCTAATAAACCGCTCAATAAACAAAATACTTTCAAGGAACAAACAGTATGTAACAAAATACCTTCTAGGAATAAACGTACATAAACACAATTTTATCTATCCGACAGAAAGTTAAAAGAAATCGTCAAATTTCCGAGAAAACGATAATACTTAATATAGGGCCAGTTTGGCCCCTTCAGACTTCTATGGTAGGTTTGTTAGAAAATCCATTTAATAAATTTAGTAAACAATATTTTTTTGCGATAAATAAGACTTTGTATCAAAATATTAAAAGTCATAAAATATGAAATTATTATTGTGTCAAATAAAAGAACTACAATAACTTCAAATCGCAACAGGAGCCAAATTGGCCCCTCCGACTTTCTAGTGTTAAAGTATAAATATAAATTTTTAATACTACGCTTAGAAAAATAAGACGTTCAGCTATGTTTAGAGTTTACTTTAATAAAAGTTTTGAACAAAGATGCTTTTTAAACAGCTCCTTTAATATTTGTCCAAAGGAATTCATCTTCACTAGCGAGGGTAGACATCGAAACAGTAAGAAAGGCTGTAAAGACTCTAAAGAATGGCAAATCCGCTGAACCTGAGAGAATCTATGCTGAAATGCTTAAGAATGGAACTCATAAACTATTTGAAAACTCAACTTGTGTGATCAATCAGTATCTAAATGGACACCCAGTACCAGAACAATGGAGAACGGCAAATATGTCCTCAATACACAAAAAGGGGGACAAAAGGAATTGCTGAGCAGACTGTATGGACGAATTTTGAGAAATTTGATCGAGAAAGAATATAAGCACAATGAAGAGAACAAAGCGGGTTCCGTGCAGGAAGATAGTGCACCGATAACGTATTTTGTCTTAAACAAATAATAGAAAAAAGATCGGCTAAGAATCTAGAAACTCATATTTCTTATGTAGACCTACAAAAAGCATATGACAACATCCCCTTAACAAAATTGTGGACAACGTTGAAAAGATCTAACATCAACCACACATTGATAAATGCTGTACAAGAACTATATAGAGACTCAAAGGGCCAGATAAAAACAGGAAAATATCTAACGGAATAATTCCTGGTTATAAAAGGCTTGTGACAGGGATGCTGTATCTCACCAACCTTATTTATTTTAAACCTTATTTAAAATATATGTTGCAGCAGCATTGGAAAGATGGAAAAGAAAGGTGCATAGGATGGGTATAGAGCTTAGCAATGAATGTATATATACACTCCAGTTTGCTGATGACCAGGTAGTACTAGCGACCGACAGGGAAGACATGCATACATGCTTAGAAAACTGATAGAAGAATATAAAGACTGGGGAATTAATGTCAATACAACAAAAACCAAATTTCTTTGGTTTATAATAACCGAATAGAATAGAATAACAGAATAACATAGACCTCGAAAACGGACAACATATTTCCGGCTGTCAGAGCTATGACTACTTGGGTGTTGCCTTTGACAATACAGGAACTGATACACGGGAAATAGAAAAACGAATTACACAAGCAAAGAAAGTCTTAGGATGTCTCAATGGTATACTGTGGAGTAAAGAGATAACGAAAGGAAGAAAATTTAATATATATGAGGCCATGATTAAAATTACTCTTCTTTATGGCGCTGAAACATGGAGAATTAGTGAAAAGAACAAAAAGCGAATAGAAACAGTAGAGATGGATGCAATGAGAAGATCTTTAGGTATTTCCAGACGAGACCGAATCAGAAATGATGTAATAAAACAACGTATGGGAATAGAAGGAAATATAACTCAAGATTTAGAGAAGAAACAATTAAGGTGTATGGGGATGTTCAACGGATGCCAGCAACAAGACCCCCCAAAAAAGTATTAAGTCCGCTTTACAATTACGAGTACTCGGATCCGAGTTACTATACTCGGAGTGCAACTCGGAAATATAAACGTCTACTCGGAGCCTCTTGTTACTCGGATCCGAGCTCGGATTGAAGTTGAACGCAAACCGAGTAGCAGTACGAGTTCCTGTACGAGTGAGCGTCAAAGTGGTGGAAATTCCAAATTAAAAATGGCGGAACTAAGATTTTCTGCAGATCAAATGGATCAATTTATCGATCATTATCGTTCTTTTGAATGTTTATGGAATGTGAAACTAAAGAAGTATCGGGACATTATCAAAGGAAATAATGCTTTAAATTAAATTAAATTAGGTAATCATTAACTTTAACAAACCTCTTGTAAATGTTGTTTAATCCAAATGCTTTTCTTTGTCTTAATTTTTTGTCGTTATTTTTCTCCTTTAAAATGTTTAATAACACGAATGCAACAGCAGCTCGTTTCTTTCTTGATGGCGCCATTTTTAAATTCTCTTTGAAACTAACTCAAATCCGAGCTACTCGGATCCGAGTACTCGTAAATGTAAAGCGACCTTTAGAATGGCCACCGATAGGTCGACGGAAAAGAGGAAGACCCAGATTAGAATGGCAAACACGGCGTAAACAAGTCCATGAGCGAAAGAAATTTAACAACAAACGACTGCGAAGATAGGAAGATATGGTGT